CCTCAGCAGCTGTTGGCAGCTAAAGGAGACTATAGAGCAAGAAAGCTCTTACCAAAACACCCCGTGGCCAGACTCTCTCGCTTACCCAAAGACAGAATGACCACACTGTGAAGCAATGATCAACTTCTGCTAATCCTGATGTTATTATGCTTATTTGAATGTGTGTAATTCCAGTACTGGACTTGCACTATTCTTGTCCATATTTAGTGTTTCATGGATAGATGGCCCACTGGTAGAGAGAGACAGAGACAGACAGAGAGACAGAGACAGACAGAGAGACAGAAGAGAGAGGAGAGGGGGAGGAAAGAAGGAAAAGAATCCATTGACCTGAGGATCTTCCCAGTTAACTTCAATAAATAATCATTTGCTCAGCAAATATCCAGTAAGCGTAGGTGACCAAACTGTGAGCAACAGCATCTGTCTGCCTTCTAAGTGAATCTCTCTGGCACCTTCCCTTCTTTGGGAAGTCAGCTTTCACTCAAGTCCAGTTCCTTGCAGCAAACAGTAGTGATGAATACAAGTTTCCTGAGGGCAGGCAGGAACAATGTCTGCCTGTGGGGATAAGGAAGTTTTCAAGGAGGAAAACCTTATGACCTGGATCCCAAAGGGCAAAAGGAGGGAATACTAATAAATGCATCACAAGATTTGAAAGCTGACATGGTTCAAGGAGTGGCTCAGAGATGAAGACACTGGAAGAGAACAGTAAAAGGCATAGCTGGCTGATAGCAGAAACCACCTTGATCCACTATCAGAGTAAGAAGACTGAACTTTATTCTTCAGGCAATAGGAAGGCCAGAGAAACTGGAAAGGCAATTAACTAATGAATCCTTTTCAATCTACAGCACATCTTAAATTAATTCAAATCTTTCCCTAACCTTTACACATTTGGCTTTTATTTTATAAATCATGAATCTCAAAAAGTACTTGTATCTAGAATATATAAATGACTCAGCAATAAAAATACAATCCATTAAATAATAAGCAAAGCATCTGAAAAGACATTTCTTCAAATAAAGTATACAAATGCCTACCAATCATATGAAATAATGTTAGCACTAGCCATCAGAAAACATGTCAAAACAACAATGAGTATCAATTCACACTAAGTCAGCTAGAATCAAAAGACAGAGAATATAACAAGTGCTGGTGAAACTGTGGAGAAACTGAGCCGGACGTGGTGGCTCATGCCTGTAATCCCAGCACTCGGGAGGCTGAGGCAGGAGGGTCGCTGTGAGTTCAAGACCAGCCTGCGCTCCAAAGTGAGCTTAAGGCCAGCCTGAACTGCATAGTGAGACCCTGTCTCAAAAAAAAAAAGAAAGAAAGAAAGTAAGTGTGGAGAAATGGGAACCTTTATATACTGTGGGTAAAAATCTAAAGCACTGCAGCTGCTATGGAAAAGTCTGGTAGTTCCTCCATGGTTAAACACTGAGTTACCATATGACCCAGCAATTCTACTCTTACAAGAAAAACAAAAACATGTGTTCACCCACTTTACACAAATGTTCACAGCGACATTATTCATAGGCACCAAAAATGGAAAACACCCAAATGTCCATCAACTGAATGAATAAACAAAATAAGGATATACCTACGCAGTGGGATGTTACTCAATCATAAATATAATGAAGTACTATACATTTTACCACATATACAAACCTAGAGAACAATATAAACAAAAGACACTAGACAAAAAAAGATCACATATTACATGATTTTATTTACAAAATGTGTCTTTAACAGGCAAATCTGAGAAGGTAGATTACTGGAGAAGGGAGAATGGACACAGAAGATTAATAACAGAAATAGCATTTCTTCTTGAGGTGATAAAATGTTCTAAAATTGATTATGCTGACTATTCCATGGATATACTAAAAACCTCTGTACTGTATACTTTAATGAGCAAAGAGTAGGACATAGTGACACACACCTGTAATCCTAGCACTCTAGTAGGCTGAGGCACACGTATCAGAAGTTTGAGCCTAACCTGGACAAGTTTGCAAGACTCTGTCTCAGAGGGCTGGGGATGCAGTTCACAGCAAAGCCCTAGGTTCAACCCTCAGCACCACAAAAAAAAATAAATGAGTGAATTATATGGCATATGAATTATACCTCAACAAATTGTTATAAAACAAAATAAGATTTCATTACACATTATGGAAATACAAAGTGAATGCTAAGAAAAGAATCTTTTTCAGTATAATCTTTTTCATTCACTTTAAATGATCTGAACTAGGGCAATGAAAATCCAGAGAGATTCTATTACTTAACATTCTAGGTACTAGGTCATGGTGAAATATTCATGAAGAAAATTCCATGTTTTAATACCAAAAAGGCAGCTTAAGGTTAAAAAGATACATTCACCAAGTACCAGAAAAGTTTTTATGACTCTAGGATAGACTAACACAGGGAATTCATTAAATGGAAAATAAGTCTAAGACATTTTATCATGTGGACTTGTACCCTGAATATAAAAGTGACAATCATATTTATTATTACTGTGGCTCCGAAAAAGAGGTCAAAAGGAAAATACCCCAATTAATATCTGTTTTTTAGCTGTTTGTGACAAAAATATTAAGGAATACTCTGTCATGATAAAGAAATCAATCTTCCACATTCCCACTTATATAACTAAGAAGCGATGATTTGTCATTTTGAACATTCCATCTCAGAGACATTAGAGTGACTCTCATAATGGTTGGAGTGGATCCCAGAAGTGACAGATGTGTTAAGCATAAAACTTGTATCAAAATTTTAAAAAATCGAAGTATTTAGAAAATGTTATTCATCAACTCTGAACCTAACTTGAAACTAGACGACACGTAAATGCTGGTTAGTACAATTTGCAAACTAACAAATAATGGTGAAAATTTCTATATAGTGTCTGTTAAAAATGTATCAGTTAAAATTCGTAAGTTTTTAATGTACTATCCACAAATAATCAAAAACACAAGAAGCCACTTTTTGGATTTGCCAAATAGGTGTGTAACTTGACCATATTTACACCAAACCTTTGTTCAATCCTCAGCACACATGACTATCATCTGTCACAAGACACTGTACTTGCTGGCCTAATAACACAATTCTCAGTTGTCTTCCACTTTCCCCCTTATTTATTTGTGTACTTTCTCAGATCTAGTGTTTAATATTAGGCTTCTTCTCCAAACATTAAGACTGTAAAAAATACCTCCAAGTCCTAGCCCCCCAAAAACTTTTCTTTGTTTTTGTTTTGTTTTGGTACCGGGATGGAACTCATGACCTCGCGCTTGCCAGGCAGGTGCTATGCCACTGAGCTACATCCTTGGGCCCCAGAAAGTTTTCTTAAATCAGGTCTCTGAAATGTAAAGAATCAAGATCAAATAGTTTACCCATTTCTTCAGCTTTACAGGAAATGCATTAAGTGAATTTAAATTATACAGATACTGTTCCTATTTGCCTTCACAACTCAACAAATGATACAAAGCAACTGCTAACAATTATGTTTCTGTCTATTCTAGCAGGCCCTGATGTAAAGACAGAGTTCTGCTTGATAAAGACAATGAGATGCATATTTATATAGAGTGACTAGGAGTCCTGTAAGTACACTGCTTTAGACTGTAATCCCAGTAAGGCCGTGGCAAGAAGGCCTAATATTCTGTAATAACTATTTCCAAAAGTAAATATATGCACCACCTCGTACACACGATTTGATTCCTTTTGAATGCCTGAAAGGGAAAGCCTTTGTACTTTGCTATCCCAGGGGAAATGAACAACTTGCAATTTGCTTCTCACTCAGAATCCCACGTTGCAACATGTAGAGCAAGCACTTCAGACACCACAAAACAAGGGCAGCCTACATTAAAGCCAAATATAGGATGTGATTCTAAACCATGATGCAAAAAAGCCTACATTTCCTTTTCCAGCGATCAAAACCCTTTGAACACTCCCAAAAAAGGCCGGCAGGGCCAGCGCCTCCCTCCGAGAGGAAGCCCCTTTCTTGTGGACTCTCCCCAAAGCCTGCCACTTCCCCCTACATGTTCAAATCGCTTGAGAGACCGGGAGCGGCTGTGCGTACGACTGTGGGGACAGGCGGGAGAGCTTGGTTCCTGCATTTCCACCCTCGATGTCTGATCTCATCCTAAGTCATTTCGGCGCTGCGGAGCCCCACCTGCACCTCGTTCCTTTTCACTGCATCCCTCGCCAGCCGCCCCGCTATTAAGAGAGCACCTCTCTGAATCATCCAGTTCATTCGAATGTCCCAGACCCTGTAGCGTTTTCTGCTTGGTTCCTCTTCCAAACCCCCTCCAGTCCCAGACCGCCTCCCACTACGACCGGGCTGGGGCTCTCTGAAAGCTCACCCACCCACATCACTCTAGTTTGAACCTTGCCCCGCCCTGCCTGGCCCCCAACCCCAATTTTCGGGGCCGGGTGAAAACTCGCACCCAAAGCCAGGCTACCACCAGGCCAGGCGGCCGCCCCCGCCCTCGCAAGCAGGGCCCAGCTCGCCCTAGCCCCACGCGAGCCGGCCCCAGCCCACCTCCCACCCTGGTCGCTCCTCAGGGCTGCCCAAGCCCTGTCTCCGGCCCCACGCCCCGGACCCTGGGTCCTAGCCGCGCCTCGAAAAGCCCCTCCCCACACGCAGCACCCCACCCCACTCGGTGGCAGGCCGCCGACCCCTGAAAGCCTGGGGCAGCCGCGTCCACACACGGCCCACTGCTCTCCGCCGGGCCAGGAAGATTCCAACCCCTAGAGCCCTACCCGCGGGGACCCCGCCCCACGCTCCCCAGCCCGACCGGCCTGTGCCCAGCCCTTCCCCGGAGATCCCGAGCCTCTGGCAGCAACCCCAGGCCCAACCCACACCGCGCAAGACCCGCGCCCGCGCGCCCACCGCAATCCTCACCCTTCACCCCGCCCTGTCCCTCACCCCGCCGGCTCCTGTCAGCCGGCGGCCGCACATGCTGAGAGAACAGGGCCGGGCGCCCGCCCCGCTCGCTCCCGACCAGCCGCAGGCGCGCGCCACTCACCAGGGCCCAGGTGCCTGAAGCGCTGCCGCTGCCGCTATCACTATCACCGCCGCCGCCGAAGTCCGCGCTGCAAGGCTCCGCGTAGCCTCCAACCGCTGCCGCCTCCCGCCTGGCACTGAGCGCCGCGCGGGGGAGGGGCGCGGGCAGCCGCCACCGCCCCTGCCGCCTCGCGCAGGCCCCGCCCCCGCACTGCACCGCGCCCAACCAGGGAGGCAGAGTCACGGTACGCCACGCCCACTTCCGGAGGGCCAGCCGGCTTTCCACCCTGCCTTCCACGCCTCCTCCTCCCTAGCGCCCCCTCTGGTCGCGCCGAGAGGTGCAAGGAGTCACAGAGGAAGGCGGACCCGAGCGCAAACCGGGTTCTCCGGTCACGGGCCACGCCCACAGGCGCCTCCGGGCCACGCCCTGCGCATTTTAGAATCTGAAATAGGTTTCCTAGAGCTCCACCCACTCGCCCGCCTGGCTCTGCAAGGCCGATCCCCGGCTCCTCAAGAGATTTCCCCAGAACACCTCAAGCCCCGCCCACTGGCTGTCCAAGCCCGAAGCCAGCACCCTGGCTCCCTAGCCCACTCCCCTTCCACTGCTTCGGAACTGGCCACCTGAAACCCCGCCCCGACTTCCAGAAGCCCGGGGGTCCGTTATCCTATTTGCTGCACCTCCGGCCGCGGCCACGCCCAGTCTAAATGCTTAGACCGTCGGCCCCGCCCGGAGTTCTCGAATCCCCGCCTCCGGCGTCCAAAGCGTGGCCCGGCTGCGCTCACACCCTGCTGCCGCCGCCTGCGGGGACGCTCGGCACTGGCCCTCCCCCTGCCGCCCGGGCCCTGCGGCCTCGCCACACCCCTGTCCAAAGCGGGCCTGTGATTGACACAGTTTTGCAGGTGAGAAAGTGGAGATTGTGAGCTTCCTCCCTTTGTTTTCCCTGAATGAAGTCCCTTAATGAGCGGGCCACCACGGCCTGAGACTTGGAGCACCAGCATAGAATTTCCAGTTCTGCTGCCGGCAGACCTGTGACCTTTGGGCCCAAGGGTCTCGATCTTTAGCGTGAATAAGTTGTTCAGTTAATACAGTTAAAAGCCAAAGTTTCTTTCTGAAATATAGTACCAAGCTCTAAAATACCAAGATTTGGGGAAACGGACAGAGACGCGTGCTGAGAGCTAGAGCTATTTCAGTATATTGCAAAACATCCTAGCAGTTCACAGGGGGATTTTTCACTTTAAGCATCTTCAGCCCCAGAAGTCTGTGTTTAAAGGGGTTGGAGACGCAGCTCAGTGGTGGAGCAGGTGCATAGCATGCAAGAGACCCTGGATTCAATCCCTGTTGTGCATATGTGCGCCTGCACACATACCAGCAACCTAAAGGAAAGAAGGAAGAAAATAAGGAAGAGAAGGAGGAAGAAAAAAATAAAGAACAGCTGGAGAGCATGGCTCTTGCCTGTAATCCTAGCATTGAAGGAGACTGAGACAAGAGGATGGCAAGTTTAAGTCCCGCCTGCACAATTTAGCCAGACTGTGTCTCAAAAAATAAAAAGGGACCGTGGGTATAGCTCAGTGGCACAAACGCCCGCCGGGCAAGCTCGAGGTCATGAGTTTGATCCGCGATACCTAAATAAATAAATAAATTTTTAAAAGAAAAAAAGAAAAAGATCTGGAGATGTAACTCAGTGCAAAGCACCCCTTGGTTCAATCCCCAGTATAGGGACTGAGGGGAAGGTAGGGGTGGGGTAGTGGGGATATTGTGTAAGCCAAGATCCACCTGACACAGCTTCCACAGCAAGTCACTTGTCCTCTCTAAGGCTCAGTTTATCTGAGAAAAGGGGATGACAGCAGCCCCACCTTTACTGTGCTCCATGAGCTCAGTTAGCAGTGCACCTCCAAGAAGGCCCGGCTGGAGATAAACTACGGGTGCCTGCTGCTACTGCTGCTACTGCTGCTGCAGCCGCCACCACCACCACCGCCAGTATAAAGGGAGAGGTTTCAGTGTGCCCTCCAGCAGCCGCTACTGATAGGAGAGACTCAGTACTTTTTTCCAGAGCAAGATTTTCCACTCAGTTCACTCGAATGAGATAAGGTGATGTAGTCACTAGTGTATGGTGATACTGAAAATCAATTTGCAATTATTATGTTTCTGCCTTTAATTAAACAAGAGCGTTGATAGCTGAGGCTTGCGAGTGGTTTTCCAAAAAACAAACTTTGATAAAGTGTTTTAAAATGGAACTGGAGACCGCTCAGTACTCTGACTTTTTGGAAACAGGTCATAGGTGACATTTAACAATCATTTCCATATGCAAATGCTACCTGAGTGGCTTCCACACAAAATCATCCACAATCCTTCCAATAGCCCCATGGCCTTGGGAAGAATTCTTAATCCTCCGTAAGAAAGGCAAAGAAACAGAGTCAGGGAAGTGAAATTACCCAAGGCCACAGGGATCCACATGCATTGGATTGCAGAGTCTGCACTCCTCACAAGTTAGTTATTACACTACGCTGCCTCTGAGGCAGTGTGACAGAACCGAATACCACGGACTTTGGATTCTGCCACATGTGGGCGTACATTAGGTTGAATTGAGTCATTGTGTGATGTTGCACGAGTCAGTTTCCCTCTCTGGGTCCTCCTCTGCTCCTCCATGCAGTTGGACTGTGTAAAGGCTTACTTCAGCGGCATTCATGAGTTTGGAGGAGAGGTTGTTTGGTTTGTGGTGCTGAGCGTGGAATCCAGAGCCACTCACATGTTATGCAAACACTGTACTACTGAGTTTCTTCAGCACCAAGAGATTTATTTAATAAATTAAGGCAGGACCAAATGTCCAGCACATAGTAGGTCCTTATAACATGTTGGTTCCTTTCTCTCAGTTTTGTTGGTGATAGTATTGTTTGTTTCACTACTCGAGATTAAACCCAGGACCTTTGCACTGAACTAAACACTTCCAGCCGTTTTGATTTTTTATTTTGAGACAAGGTTTCCCTGAAATGCTTTTTCCCAGGCTGGGCTCAAATTTGTAGTCCTCCTGCCTCAGCCTCCCAGAGCACTGGGAATTCTGATTTACACAACCACACCCAGCTTCTTTCAATTTTTTATGTGATTAAACTAAGGTTTCCAAAGACATCCGTTCCCCCAGGCGACCCCACCATAGAGCACAGATTACATGTGCTGAGAAAGAAAAATCTCAAGGACTTGGTCATCAGTTGCCTGTTCCAGTTGCTACTTTTAATCCCGAGTTGGGGGAGGAGATTCTTGTACAGGAAGCATTCAAAGCTAGAAGCAACTCTTCCTTCCACATCAGCTCAAAATATAGCTACCTGAAGCCAGCTGTGGTGGTGCATATCTGAATCCCAGCACTTGGGAGGCTGAAATAGTAAAATCCCTGAGAGTTTGAGGCTAGCTTGGGCCACATGGAATAGCAAGACCCTGTCTCGAAAAAAATGGGGTGGAAAGTGGGGCAGAGATATAGTGGCACAATGCCTGCCTGGCAATTGCAAAGTCGTGAGTTCAATTCCTGGTACAAAAAGAAAAAAGAAAAAAAAAATGGCTACCTGAGAGCTCTTACTCCTAGAAACAGACAGAAAATTGAATTAACTCTTTGTTAGAAGAAGATCCCATCATTGCACTGTTCTTGAATCGATAGCCTCTTGTGGGCCTGACGGAAACTGGCTCTATAAGTGGGAAGCATTTGTATCTGAGTAAAATGCTATATTGAACAGTGCTCTCCTGGCTGGATATGGTGCTACATGCCTGGGATCTCAGCAGCTCAGGAGGCTGAGGCAGGAGGATACCAAGTTCAAGATCAACCTGGATAGTTTAGTAAGACATTGGTCTCAAAATAAAATGAAAATTGCTGGGGATGTAGCTTAGCACTCCCTGAGTGCTAAGTGTTTTGCCTGTCTCAAAAGCTGGTTATTCCTAAAGTGACAGATGTTAGATAGAGAGGGACTTAATGATCAAGAAAAATAAAAATGACTCCAGATCTTGCGCACAGGTGCCAACCAGCTCATGTCCGATAAAAGAATTGTGGGGCCTGAATCCAGAGACTCCTTAGCAAACAATGTTTCTGGTGTCTCTCAGTACCAGGTGTATTAGGTTGCTAGGGCAACCTGGAAACTGATGAATTAGCCCCATGAGAGCAGTAACAAATAATAATAATATTAAATAGATGAGAGACTGGAAGTCCCTGGAGTAATCTTGCTAAGACAATTCTTTGATGGACTGATAGAAGAGGACAAAGCCTGGAGAATATTAAAATTCACCTTACACTGATAAATCTTGCCTTCAGCAAGGTAGGGGCAGGAAAAGTGCTGAATGATAAACGGGTCCTACATGTCACGGGAGACTGATGCTTTTTCCCCCGTTGCGCTGAGGAATGAACCCAGGACCTGGAACACGCTAAGCATATGCTCTGCCGACTGAGCTACACCCTCAATCTTAGATGCATTTCTTTTTTTTTTTTTTTTATCGGTACCAGGGATTGAACTCACAACCTCCTGCTTGCAAGGCAGGTGGTTATGTCCTTGAGCTAAATCCTCAGCCCCTTAGATGCATTTCTTAATTAAAATTTTTATTTTGGAAGCCAGGCATGATGGTACACACCTGTAATCCCAGCACATGAGAGGTTAAAACAGAAAAAATCACTATAAGCTTGAGGCCATTTTGGGCTGCACAGTGAGTTCAAGGCTGGCCTAGACTATAGAACAAGACCCTGTCTAAAAAAAAAAAAAAAAAAAAAAAAAAATTACCACCTAGATACTGACACTGATACAGTCAAGATACAAAATATACAAGGATCCCTCTCCTTGTCCTTGTGTAACCATACCCACTTCCATCCTGCATCCATCCCTTCCTCAAGCCCGGCTACCACTCATCAGTTCTGTATTTCTTTAATTTTGTCCTTTAAAATACACTATATAAATAGAATCATAGAGCATACAACCTCTGGGGGTTGGCTTTTTATCACCCAGGATAAATCTCTGGAGATGCATCTTTGCTGTGGCCAGTGTGAATAGTTCATTCCGTTATGCTAAATAGTGTCCCACAGTGTGGATGTTCTAAAGTTGGCTTAATTGTTCACCCAGTGAAGGGCACAGGACTGGTTTCCAGCTAGGGGTTATTATGAATAAAGCCACTACAAGCATTGTAAGTATTATAAACATTCACATCCAGGTTTTTAAG